ACATGCTTCCTGAACGCCTCAGTTACTCACAGCTCCGAGCTGTGTGAGACCAGCCTTGGACACCATCTCATCCCAGTAAAGTACTTGTAGTCCCCTGGGCTGCATCCCACTTGGGTCAGCTTTCTCCTCTTGAACTTCCACAGTTCAAGAATTAGGTAACAGAGAGCATTTGATCCTGGACTGGCCACACTGTGACCTGGGATCCGGTATGCTCCTAAAATAACACAAGTCTATCTCTATGTAAACAGTGGGTAGATGCTCTGAAGAGTAGCTGGGAGAGCAGTAGAGGATTAGGGCAGCTGCAGGATGTCAGCCAGGCTGACAAAGAGGTTCATGTACTGTTGCTCTGCCAAGAAGTTTGGATTATTATCTCTGTCTTCATTAGAGAAGTGATGAGGAGATTTCATCTTGTTAACTAGATTATTTCCCTTCACAATATGTGATTCAGGTATAGTTACCTTTATTATTTATATTATTTAATAGTAATACAGTTAATGTGTATCTATGGAGTGTTGGAAGTTCTTTAACTATAGTGGCCTAAGTAAAGCAAAACCATTTCAGTAGTGTTTAGGATAACTATTAAACAAATATAAGTAAGAAGTTAATCTCTCTGTGCTATCCTGCCTTCCTTACACACCCCAAGTCTTCCATGTTTTTAGTAAGGCTTTAGAGCAGACTAGAGATAGTAAACGGGGTGCTGGGAAAAGAGCATGAGGTCTGTTGGTTAGGAAGAGGGATTTGGAATTAACCGCATTCTGGCATGGCTCGAAGAAGAAATGCCATACCTTTTCTGTGCCTCAGCTTCCCCAGAGTAATGTGAGAATGATGATATTATCTCTTATATGTTCTTTTAGATCTCTGCAAAAGCTCTAAGCATAGTTATTTGTAGCTAACTGAATCTTAAAAAAGCCCAACCTTCAGTAAACGTGAACTTAATACAGAGATTATGTTGTCCACTACTAAATTATGCACCATTTTTTTCTATTTGATCCCTGTATTAATGGTGTTTTCTTGGGATACTGTCTGAACAGGAAGTGGTACAGTGAGATTTCCCAAAGCACAGCCTAGGGATAAATTCATTCCTTGTCCTAAAATGCAGCTGCGTCTGTGCTTTCCTTGTAGAGTCAGAGCAGGATTAAGTAACTCTAAAATCTTTTGTTACTGAACTCACCTTGTCACAGATTTTCACTTGCTGTAAAAAGTGATACTGATAGGAGTCCCTGTTCCAGTGCTTTGTCCCTACAGGGTCCTGTTCATCTATAGTGCTCAAAATCCTTCACAAAAGTGATAAATGCCCTCTATTATCATTCTACAGATGGAAAAGATTATAATTCTACAGAGGGAAAGCGTGATTGGCTTCTTATTGCATAGCAGAGCTAGCAGTACAGCCCATCTCCCCTGCTTCCTAGTCCAATGTTTGCTTTGTTAACCACACTGTGTTCCTGTTCTGCAGCCTTGCCAGTTATATGATTTCTAATTGTCTGCCCAAGGAGTCTCTGGGCACAGGAGGCCCAGCTTAACAGAACCATTTCTACATCTGAAAAGTATCTGTGACATGGAAAACAGGGAGGCATAAAAGTGCTTTTGGAAGTTTTAAAATGCCTACATGTGATACTGTAAATAAAAGGCTTTACTGCTCTGGCTCTGAGATACTTGTCAACTGCACCAATGTTCAGCAACATCTTTGAGAAAGAGAAAAAAGGGTTAAAGAAGGAGTGGAGGCAGTGTAGCTCAGCACAAGCTTCTAGTACTGGACTGAAGGAATGTCTCTTGGGATGGAAAGCTCTCGCTACTGCAGAGATTTCTCAGAACAGAAAACTGAGCTTAATATCTCTCGCAGTCCTGCCCCCACAGACCAGTAATGAAAAGGGAATCTGTAACTTGGAATTCTGCTGGGGAGGATCATTTTCTCTGTGCTGGCTTTTTATGCTCCAGTGAGTTTACGTGCTGCAGGGTAAAATGTTTTCTGTCTTAGAAACAGGACACCGCTTCCTGTTCATCCATGTGAGCCTTTAGCTTTCACCTCTCCTCCCACAAACTTCTGGCAGGCATATCATAAACAGTTGTTTGCTTTCGTGGGCTGGTGGCATGAAAATGAATTAGGGACCTATTTAATTTGAGATGTCTGAGAATTCAGGGTGAAATAATTGTATAGCCAGGCTCTTTTCCTTTCTTGCCTTCTTTTATCATTATCATGTGCTTTCTCCTCTCTTTTCAGGTACTAGAATTTGATATCTAGTCAGATACATTCCTCTCCAGCAAGCCCACATTTGCCTCCCTCTTTGTTGGCAGTATGAGCTTCAGCTTCTCAGAAACCATGAGCTCAGAGCTGTCTAATAAAGCTGCCGTGGTTTTGTGCATGCCACTGTATGGCTAGAAACTTCACTGGCTTTAACGTATTTCCTGAGGATATATATATATTTTACTTACTTGTTTACACCCTCTGACTGGACAGGACACAAGGAACTGGAGTGTGCTGGAGGAGCTGCACTGTGAATGCACTTCATACCTCTGAGAATCTGCCTTTAAAAACTGCAGGATTCATATTCTTTCATTTGTCCTTTCTCTGTGTGTCTAACAAAATACAACCTTAGCTGACTTTCTGTTGACTGTTCCCAATCTGCTTTCTTCTTCTAATGCAGGTGAAGGATTTTAGGAATTTCCTTGGGAATATCCTCTTTCTTCCTAACTTGGAGTCTTACACTTATTTTTCACTTTTGCTACCTTTGCCAGGTCTATCTAGATCCTTCATCTCTAAGATCAGGCAGAATATCAATTTGGGTACACTAGGAAGATTCATCTGCTACATCCATTGAAAAGAAATCATTGTTTCAAAAGAAGTCTGCTCAAGCCAAGAAAATGTACTTCCAGTTTTCCAGGTATTTTCTGATGTTAAAGTCAGATGGCCAGGATTTGCATTTAGGCACTGTTGCCAGAGCCTATACATATTTCTACTTTAGCAGAATTTTAAGATGAAGTTTAGCATTTAATCATTACAATGAATAAACCAGAGCTTCCACATGAAAAAACATTTCAGGGGAGAAACTTCTGAAAGAGAACTTCAGGATTTAGCTGAAGTTTTTAAGGAACTGGAAATGAAAAGCAAGTTCATGTAAATGAAAGTTACGGCAGAATTAAATTCACGTTTGTGTATATATGAAAAAAGTCTGGAAAACACCTCAGGAATGCAATAGAAAATTGGAACAGCCATGGAGAGGGGGTAATAACATTCAGGCTAATTTTGGTCTTCCCTGCACCCAGTCAATGCTGAGTGACAGAAGAGCATCTCTGTGGGGAACAGGAAGCCAATTGCACTAAATGGATGACTTCCAAATGGGCATTTTGTAGTAGGTCTATATTTTATCTTCAGGTTTAATTCTTCATACTCTGTGTGACAGAAGAGAATTGTAGCTTTCTATAGCAGGGCAAAAAAAACACTTAGTACATTGTATTTTCTTTTTCTAGCTCATAATTCAGGCAATGAAATTGTATCTTTACATAATCTTTCATTTTATACCCAGGACCAAGTTCTGGTCTCTACTGCAAAAGAACAGTCTTGCTTGTGCTGCAATTAGTTTTGAGTTCTTCAATCACACACTGAAATCTGAGAGCATCTTTGCCACATTCTGTCCCTTATGACAGTTCCTTCAATAAAACATTGGCTACATCCATTCTTTCTTTGAGTTGGTTGCAAGAAAATCCAGGCAGCAGATAAGCAGGATTTGAAGCTGGTTTTCTTCCTGAGGTTGAAGCTTTGTGGGCAGTGGGAATACCTATAGTGCTTAACATTGTACAGTATAGAGATAATCGGGTGAGGTGCAAGCAGCGTGTTTGCTTCTCAGCAGGATGTGGGAGCTCCACAGCTTGGCTACCTCCCTTGCCTGATTTCAAATGAACATCTGCCAATGTCAAATAGAACAGATGTGACCTGTGTCCTTCAACAGCAGTGACTCTGTGCAAAAGTTGGGACTCCTGGATTCTATTGCTGGATTCATGATCCACATAAAGAATGTACTAGGAAGGTCACTTTGCTTCTCAGTGGTTGGATTTTGACTTCTCTTTGTCATGTCTGTCAAGTACCTCTAAGATTACTGATCCCTACTTTGGCTCAGTATTGATAGTAAAGCCTCCTCATCAGGTATGGAACAGCTGGTTGTGAAAACAAGTTGAATTTGTCTCTTGTGCTTTCTTCTGTATGCAGAAAACCTGCTGGTTCTTACTGTTGCCACCAAGCAGACTGAGGGCTTCCAGCGCTTCAGAAGATCAGCCCAATTCTTCAACTACAAAATCCAGGTGATGGCATCAGCCTCCATGGTGCTTGGGCAGAGGGAATTTTGAAGTGTGGAATAAGACTTGGCCACAAAGTGATTAAATAGAAGCCACAAAATACTGTGACTGGGGCATTTCTGCCCAGTCCTTTATTCTGTCATGAGTGAGATCTGTAACTCCTGCTCGAGGGAGCCCCATGGCACTTTTCCATTGCAGTGCCAAAACACACAGTACAGTTTGTGCTCCTGTCCCTGTTGCTGAGAGCAGTTTGTTACTGTGCTACACGTTACTCTGTCCATCCCAGAGAATGGTTCAAAGGCTAGTGAATATACCTAGTTCATCTGTCCTGATTCTGGAAGGTTTTTTGTTGGGATCTGCACTGGGAGTTATCAGGATTAGTAAGGTTGTGGGTTCTGGTCCTTTCCTGTGAGTCTTGCTGGGAAAATGACCTGTTCAGTTAAGACCTTCTGTTTGTTATTCTTCAGGTGCTGGGGCTGGATGAGGAGTGGAAGGGTGGAGATGACAAGAAGCCAGCAGGAGGAGGGCAGAAGGTCCGTCTCTTGAAATCAGCTTTGAAGCAGTATGTGGATAAGGAAGACTTGATCATCCTTTTCATAGACAGGTAATGGGTTGGAAAGTATTTGCCATGAACTGAATCATAAGGCTGTTGGGACAGGTTCTTACTAAGAAGAAATTCACTGTGAAGTAGATTGCTTTTGGAAGGTGCGCCCAGACCTCTGGGGTTTTTTACCCGAGTTCTCTGCAGTTGCCTGAGTGTTGCTCAGAGCTGTATCCGTGGCAGCTGGGAAGGTCTGATCAGAATAGGCTGTTTCCAACTCTGGCATAGAGTTGATAGCATTATACCTGTTTCTGCCACGGTGGAACTTGGCTGCCTTTGTCTGCAGAGAAAGAACAGACAATTTCTGTGAATCCAGGCAGGCCTTTCTTACCAGAACTATTTGTTTTATAAGGTAAGGCAGGCTGCAGCACAATCCTGGGAGCCAAGAGTTAGTCTGCCAGAGAGATGTGAAGAGGGAAAAGGACAGTTTGGAGTCTCAGTGTCTTTTCATAGGCACAGCAACAGGCAGGGCTAGGATCTGTGTATCTGTTTCTAGCTCCCATGGCAGGGAGGTATCTTTTTTGCAGCTCTGAGCATCTACGTGTGTTTAGAGAAGTTGGGATGATTAATCTCTGGAATGAGTAACTTCTTTACTCAGCAAAATGAGTTTGAAGTATACGAATTGTCTTGCAGAAAATGCAAGTCTCATTCTGGGAGCATTGCCTGGGAATTAGTCAGTTCCAACCAGTACTGAAGAGACAGCAGCTGGACTGCAGCATCCAGTGACTGGTGTCCAGCATTGGTTCCTCCTGAAGATTTGCAGGGCAGCTCAGTGGAGAGTGGCTGGATACCAGGAGATGTAAAAAAAACCTGTGGGTTTCTTTAATCTAGGAAGAAATGGCAGAGCAATTCTTCTTCCAATAAGTTGTTACAAACAGTGAAGGCACCAGGGCTTCACAGTTCCAAATGGGGGAAAGGCAAGAAGAGATCAATATGTTTTGCAGCTTGGAAGATTTGTTTTTATCATCAGTGAAAACTTTGTGAAAATAAGAGTGGGCATAAGTTGCCCCAAGCCAGTTCGGGATCTTCTGCAGTGGAAAGTATCTTCTTCCACTCTATGAATAAAATTGCACTTTAATTAGCTATAATTATGAGAAAAAAATTTAACACTGTGAAGCGGAATTAAAGTGAAGGGATTCCTAAAGAATTAGCTGTTCCTAGAAACTTGTCACACTGACGTGTTTTTCTGACTCCATTCCTTTCTGTCCCTTTCTTGTCTGTCTTTAGCTATGATGTACTCTTTGCTTCGGGCCCCACAGAACTGCTGAAGAAGTTCAAACAAGCCAAGAGCAAGGTGGTCTTCTCAGCAGAGAACTACATCTATCCTGACAGAAAGCTGGAAGCCAAGTACCCTCAGGTGCGAGATGGAAAGCGCTTCCTGGGTTCCGGAGGTAAGACACAGAACATTCCTTCAGTTGAGAACCCCTCTCAGCTTCTTATTCCTTTTAGAAGTTGCAAGGGACCAGGTGTGGAAAACATCTGTGTAGAAGATGGTACAAACTGAAGCCCTGTGCATATCTGGCCGTAATGGAAAGACTAACAATGCTCTTGTCTTTTACCTACAAAAGGGACATAGTTATGAATTGCCCACAGAGGATAGGAACCTGCTCCCTATCCCTTTTCAGTGAGATGTGTCATTCAGGGTGGGGGTATCTGAGCTTTGCTGATGCTGAAGATGGCAGGTTTGATCCTGTCTGTGTAGGGCAGCGCAGGCTGTACCTGACCCTGTCTGTGTAGGTAAGCGCAGTCTGTACATGCCTTTGCTGAAAGTTCATGTATCTCAGCAACAACACTGAGCGGAGTGAGACTTTGTTTGAAAGAGGTGAGAAGAGTGTGTGAAAGGCTGTGTATACAGGAGTACTTCCTTTTTTAAGTTGTATGGGTTGAAGCATTTCTTCCTACTTATTCCCACAGGCTTCATAGGTTATGCTCCAAACCTGAAGAAACTTGTGGAGGAGTGGAAAGGACAGGATGATGACAGTGACCAGCTCTTCTATACAAATATCTTCTTGGATCCAGAAAAAAGAGTAGGTGTGGCTAGATTTTGGGATGAGGAGGAGTTATCTGAGTGTTGCTGTTAATCCTCTATACAGTATCCCTGTTGACAGTAAAAGAAGTAAATCACGTATATATTGACTCTTAATTACTGCTCTGGCATCCTTACATGGAAAAGGCCAGTAGTGTGTCTAGTTACTTATTTCCCTTCTGAAGACTTGCATTCTAGGCACTACCCCCTTGTTCTGTTAGTAGAGGTTTTATCTGTAGACTTAAAATGTGACTGTGATGGTAGATGTCTTAAAACATGTTTTACTGGAAACTCATGCCAGTATCTGTATGTGCTGATGTTTAAAGCTATAGAGTGTGACAGAACTAACCAGCCTCCTCCCAGGGGATGTGAAACCCGGACTTGTCCCCTGCAGAGCATAGTGCTGACTTAGATATATCCAACCTAGCACTAGAGCAGCTTTTAGGTAAAGAGTCAGATGAGGCCTGAGTAGATTTGAGGTGATGAAAGGACAAAGGTTCACAGCCTTTTAGCGACTGTTGATCCACAGGATGGGGACTGTGGATGTCACAGTGGGTAGTCCTGCTGGAACAGAGAGTCTGCACTGCCTTCAGCAAACACCTCCAGATCCTGGCCAGCAGAATCTACGTCAGCCTATGTAGCATGCCATGTAACCTCATCCAGAAGCCTGGGATGGACCCTGAAAGCAGCATTGCCATTCAGCACTGCATGCTGCACTGGCCAAATCATCCAGCTCACAGGGTGATTCTGCTTCTGTTGTCCCTGCCCAGTTCTGCATGACGCAGCACAGTCTGTCCCTGAGGGACACCACAAATGCGTGAGAAGTCAAACTGTAACAGTAAAGTCAGGAGGAAACATTAAAAATAGGAAACTGCTTTCAGGCTGATCAGGGAAGGAGCTGCACTTTCTTACCAGCAGAACTGGTAAAAAAATTCAGAACAGCTGCACTTTTCTACTTCCCCTAATCTGAATATGGCCCCGTGATATTTTAACATGGCCAGTTCCTTTGATGTTCTCATCTGCAGTACTGGCCCTGTGCCACATAAAGGCTGAGTAATTCCATGGACTTGGCATTCAGACAGCAGATGTTAGCACCCTGCTGTCCTTCCCAGTAATCAGTCTTAACAGATGCCTGGAGGGACACTGAACTCTGCTAAGTCAGAGCTGAATTTTAGTCTGACAGAAATCCAGTCAGAGTATGACTTGCAGCAATGGGTAAAAACAAAGTTTGCACAACACTGGCCTTGTGTCCTTACTGTGTTCTGGTTTGACATCAGTACGTGGGGCAACACTTGGGATAACACTTGCCCTCTGGATATATGGTGAGAAATTGTCTTCACAGCAGATGGCTTTGCTATCTTGGCATTCCTGCACGTTACTGGTGGGGTTTATATGACTGTCCTGCAAGTATACTTCGTTAGTATGCTGCGTGTTATAATTGACACATGCACAGCAGCCTTAAAATGTTTGTTTGCGTGGGTTTGCCTGATACATTTAAATTGTTTTAGAAGATGGCAAATTGTCCCAGATTGAAGTGAGAATGAGGGTTAGCCGGGAGTGTTTTAGGCTTCAGAGCTTGGAGTATGGAAGTGTTTATAGGAATGCAATATATCTTTGCTCAGCATAGGGTCTCTTGCATGTAAAGAATGGGTGCCCACTTGTGTTCTAATTCAGGTTATTTATCTCATTCTTCTAAAGGAAAGTATCAACATCAGTCTAGACCAAAGAAGTCGGATCTTCCAAAACTTAAATGGAGCGTTAGGTGAGATGGAAGAAGGAATCTTGTTTCTCCTCGGAATGCAACTGCATGTTGACACCAGAAATGAAGTTGTGGCTGAAGGGATTAAATTTCAGGAATTCCTGTCCCTGTGGAACAAGCTTCAGTAAAAAGCCTCTGCCAGAATTCTGGGATTTATTTGCAATTCCGCTGTGACCAACTAGGTTCTCAGTGCAGTTCCCTCTTGGCTTGGGGGAATGCAGGTCAGGTTTTCCATCTTACACCTCCCTACCATTTTGATCTCCGAGCATGTCAGATTGCATTAGCTTTGGGGATTGAAACTGGGACGGATTTTCAGTGCAAGTGATAACACACAACCCTGCCTGGGGCTTGCCTGTCTTTCCACTTCAGAACTGTGTCTGGAATGCCATAGAAAATGAGACGCAGGCAGATACTGCCTGTGAGCACTTGCTGACCTGACCTACTGATTAATTCATTTTGCTAGTCCTGGCAAAAGTGATTCACTTACTCTCCTGCCATTGCTGCCTACTGTTTTCAGTTCTTAGTCTTGCACCATTCCACCTTTATTCCAGTCAGGTAACAAATTATAATGGCACAGTAGTTTTTAGCTCCTGTATTCAGGTACAGACTGGAGCTTGGGTCTGTACTAGTCTGTTTTCCAAAGGATTTTGTGTGGTTGTGTTGGGAAGATGTCTTGGATGACGTCTGCTGGGAGGGTGGACTTCTGTCAGGGGTGATAAAGAGACAACACGTGCTCAGAATGCTTAGGTGGGATGGGCCTGAGTCCTCCCTGGCCATCAGTAGCTGTTCCTCACTGTAGGGTTTGTAAACGCCCATTTTGAAAGACTGTTTCAGTGTGGTTTTTGCTAACTCCCAGTATAAGGTGTATGTGTCAGCCCAGCAAGTTGGATTCTTGTCCAACTTCCCAGCCATCCTCCTGTTACTTCACAGGATCATTCTGAACATTTTTTCTCCTTTCTGGGTATGGTCTGTAGCCCTTAAACCACTTGTGTGTGGTTATAAATGTCCATACTTTCTTCTTGCAGCAGGCGTTCAGTAGAACCAAGGCACTGTGCTGCCAATTACCACTAAAAGCCCTCCTTTGGTAACATGATGGCAATGTTCTTTCTAGATGAGGTGGTTCTGAAGTTTGAAAACTCGCGAGTGAGAGCAAGAAACTTGTTATATGACACTCTGCCTGTGATGATTCATGGAAATGGACCCACCAAGGTAAGTGGGTGTCCTGAGAGAAAGATTTGGTATATATTTGTTGCAAAGCAACCCTTTAGGCTCGAGTGTATCAAGTCACTGTCTTCCCACATACCAACTTTCCCTCTATGCATTTATGTTTGAAAAACAAGTGGTCCAGGTCTGTATCACAAGATGGGTCTGGTTCAAAGGTTAGTGTGTAACTGGACCCTCAGGCTGTCATGTTTTTCAGGTTCTTTAGTCCAAGAAAAGGGTAAATGAGGTTCTGATGAGATATGATCTTACGTAATAGGTGGATGCAAAGAAGCTTCCCTGCCCTATAATGTGTAACATGGTAAATTGCCTTTTGCAGCTGCAGCTGAACTACCTGGGAAACTACATACCTCAAATATGGACATTTGAGACTGGCTGCACTGTGTGTGATGAAGGTCTGCGAAGCCTCACGGGGTTTAAGGTAAGGCTGATGCCTATTCAAAGCTCTCAAGTCTTACAATTACCATGGGATCTCCTGTGTCTGATGTGATACATGAGCCACCACTTCTCTCTTTTCACTCAATGTAGGATGAGGCATTGCCAATGATTCTCATTGGCATTTTCATCGAGCAGCCCACCCCATTCCTTTCCCAGTTTTTCCTGCGGCTTCGTAACCTTCATTACCCAAAGCAACGAATCCAGCTCTTCATTCACAACCATGTAAGTTAAGTTGGCTTGTGATAGTCTTAGCAAATGTGGGGAAAATGTATTCCTGTACTCTAGGCAGCTTTGCAGCTTTTGACTAGACTTCCAGGCTCTGTTATCCCAGTACTTAATCTGCAGTGGCACCTGTAAGATAGCTCCATCCAGCTGTAAAGACGTGGAAGTGGGAAGAGCTGTTGCTAGTCTGCTTTGGCGTTTTTGAGAACAGGAGCCTGAGCAGCCTTGGATGAGCCCATCTTTTTCCTTATTTTTCTTTTGGCATAGGAACAACATCACTTGATGCAGGTGGACTCTTTTGTTAAAAAGCATGGCAAAGAATATCTCGCTGTCAAAGTGATTGGGCCAGATGATGAGGTGGAGAACGCTGAGGCACGTAACTTGGGCATGTAAGTGAAGGGGCCATACGTGATGGCTGGCAGAGTCAGCCTGTGTTCACACTGGGGCAGTCTGTTTTATCTGAGGATCATCACTGTCAAGTGGATGCTTCTTTTCTTTCAGTTGCTCCTTTTTTTTCCAATTTTCTTGACATTAACTCCTCATGCCCATTATGACTCTTCTTGTGCTTTGTCTGTAGGGATTTGTGCAGAAAGGATCCTGACTGTGACTATTACTTTAGCCTGGATGCTGAGATAGTTCTGAAGAACACAGAGACTCTAAGGATCCTGATTGAGCAGAACAAGTGAGTTCTTTGGTCTGAGCAATCCTTACTGGTCATCTTTAACATGAGGAATACAGTGAGCTCTTTCATCACTGAGATATGTAAAGCACTAGGAGAACTGTGTCAGAATATTAGACAAAACCTCTTATTTAGTCTTTTTTTACAGTAGTTGTAATGCCTGGATTTTAGGCAGTGGATGTAAATAATCTCTAGTTTTGTCTTTATATAGGAGGTAGAACAAATCAGATTCTTGAAAACCGGCTGCAGAGCACAGTTAGATAGGAGATTGTGGCAGTATTTGCCCTTTTTTAGCTGGGATTCTATTCCAACAGAATTAACAGAAGCAGCAGCTCTGTAAGTGTGGGAGACTAACTCTTACAGTCCTGTGGATTGTAAATTTTTCCCTTTTCTTCCTGTGGTAACATCCTGTCCTGCAATTCCTTTTCCTTTTGTGCTCACAGGCTGGTGATTGCCCCACTGGTAAGCCGTCGTGAGAAGCTGTGGTCAAATTTCTGGGGAGCACTGAGCCCTGATGGTTATTATGCCCGCTCAGAAGATTATGTGGATATTGTTCAAAGGCGAAGAGTGTGAGTATGCAAAGAGAGCTTCTTTACTTCTTTACATCTAATTCCTCAGATGTAAAACATTTCTATATTTGAAGAATTTACATTGCTGCAGCACATTCTCATCAAACCAGCTAATGTCAAAGAACCAGAGAGCACAGATGTCTTTGTGTATAGGAAAGGAAAAGAAGTCTCTACTCCCATTTGGAACCTGCTCTCTTCTCCTCTGAGTAGAGATGATAATGTACTTTAGACAGATTTTCTTGTGATCAGAGTGAGGGTTTGAGTTCTGACTCGGCTGAAATCACTTTGTCTTGCTTATGTCAGTTGTAGTTAGTGTGATCCTTGTCAGATACTCTTCATAAAATATCATATGATCCTTGATTGGTATATTCACAGAACACAATTGTTGGCTCATTCATATTTTTGAGGGGCCATGTCTTTATTTTCTAGGCTATTATATGTGTGATAAATGCTGGAAATCAGCTTATGCACTTTTGGCTGCTTCACTTTTTTAAATCACTGGAAAAAAGTATGTTGATCTCTCTGGGAAGAGTTTCAAGCCATTAATTATGTCCCAGCAAAACCACACAATGTCAATTAATTGCTTTCACAGTGGACTAACATTTGTGCAGCTTAAAAGCTCTGGGCAATCTAAGTGATTTTTCCTGGAATGACAATCCCTATTGGTATGGTTTCTCCCTACTGTTCTGAGTTGGCCCATTTAGGCAAGCCTGGCTGACACTGCAGTGCTGCCTGCCATCCTGTCCAGTCCAGCAGCTTCTGTCTTAGTAGTATTTCAAGTCTGGCTCTTCTATCTATGTGTTTCAGTGGGCTTTGGAACGTTCCCTACATCAGCAGCGTTTACCTGGTTAAAGCTAAGGTTCTGCGGTCGGAGCTTGACCAGGGAGATCTCTTCCACAGTGGCAAGCTGGATACTGACATGGCTTTCTGCCACAATGTTCGGAATCAGGTCAGTTGAGGAGAGAGAGGCTGCCAGGAGAGAACTGCATGCCAGAGTGGAGGTGACAGGATTAAGGAGTTTCAAGGCATTCAGCTCTGTGGGGCATGGGACAGGATGAACTGGCACTATTCAATACACTTCAGGCTTGGAACGTGTGGGATTTCTGTCTTGCTGTGAAACTACACAGAGCCAGGGACAACTAAATATGGATAACGGTTTTGTTCTTGGGCCTGTTGAGGGCTGTTCTAAATAAGTTTGACAGGGTAAGAAGGAAGAACCTAATCTCACAGCAGCTGCTCTGCACTGCTTCCAAGCCTGCCTGACAAGAGGCACAGGATTACTGTCTATAACCTTTCAAAGTTCCTCATGTTGAAGGCCCATAGGAGAAAGAGTGGGTAAATTGACAGCTTGGGCAGAGCCATCAGCATTGGAGAACTGTCTAGTGCTTATATTTCACAGTGGCTCACAGAAATGTGAGGTCTTGATTCTTTCCCTCTATCCTGCAGGGAGTCTTCATGTACCTGACAAATCGGCATCAGTTTGGACACATACTGTCCCTGGAGAATTACCAGACAACTCACCTCCACAATGACCTTTGGCAAATATTCAGCAATCCTGAGGTGAGAGAACCTGAACGCTCAGCTTAGCATGGTTTAGCAATGTGGCATGTGAAGATTTCATGACCAGCTTCACCAAGGAAGGTCCAGGCTTTGTAATAATGTCTCTCAGGTGGGACGAGAAGAATAGTGACAGAATTTAAAGAGAGAGTGTTTGTGTGATTCATAATGTCTGGATTTTCAAAGCCTATGAAATAACTGCTGCATTGAGTGCCTGGCCTTTCGTTGCCTCTTTAACCATGCCCCACAGAAATGACTGGTTTGCTTATCTTTTAACTGCAGGACTGGAGGGAAAAGTACATCCATGAAAACTACACAGCGGCTCTGAAAGGGAAATTGGTAGAAATGGTAAGAAAACATCACTCATCCATCAGAATGGGAGATTATCATCAGGACAATGCTGAAAACATTTGTGAGAATGACAGTCATCACTGCTGTCATACTCGGGAATAACAGTTCAGCACAACCTCATAGTCTTTCAAATCCAGAGGAAACATGATTTTGAAAGTATTTTTAGAGCCAAATCATTCTTCTAGAAGTTCATCTCCAGCTGTCTTAAGTGGAAGTGGGGCAACATACATCAGAAGACAAATTTCTATCCTCAATATTTTACTTTCCACTTAAACTGACTCAATCTGCAGTCGATTTAGTCTTACTCCTTTTACCTCAAGCACCTGTCCTTGTTTCTGCTGTTCTCACCTGTCTACTTTGTGCAGCCCTGCCCAGATGTTTACTGGTTCCCCATATTCACTGACATTGCCTGTGATGAGCTGGTGGAAGAAATGGAACATTATGGTCAGTGGTCCACAGGTGACAACACGGTAAGAAGAAGCGGGAGCTTTTTGATATCTGGGTCACACCATCATTCATATGTATTGGGTGGCAGCAGTGCCTCCTGTAGGAAAGCCTTGGGCCTCACAGTTAAACCAGGAAACTGGAGGTAATACAATTTTGTTCCTGATTTGACTCTGATTTTGCCCCTGTACTTAAATGTGAATTAATTTTCCTGAGTCCTCTTTAGCATCCTCTGAAGCTACAGTGTTTAGCCCTTCTGATGGTAATATTTTTTACCTTAGATTGTAATTATTGCTTGAAATGAGTTGTCCATCCTGGAAATTCTGATCAATAAACACTTAACTTGTAGTTACCAGCAACAAGTGCTTTTCACCCCTGAAGTCCAAGGTCCCCATCCTTATGGGTATTTTCATGATTCTATTTCAGGACAGCAGAATACAAGGAGGATATGAGAATGTCCCAACTATTGACATACACATGAACCAAATTGGCTTTGAAAGAGAATGGTATAAGTTTCTTCTGGACTATATTGCACCCATCACAGAGAAACTGTACCCAGGATACTATACCAAGGTACGTGTGCCTTAGCATCAAAACTCATGCTCAGATCAGCCCCTCCTCCAGTTGCAACTTTGAAAGGACTGCTGGAATCCTCTAGCAGTTTGCATATTGTTTCCCAGTTGACCCTGAGTATGATGTAAGTATATGCATCAGGACATACATGATTTCCTAATGACATTCTCCTCCCTTATTGTTACCTTTCTCTGTTAGCAGCAGGATGCAGTTTATCACACCCTGCTCTGCAGTTCAGTAGCCATGGACTGTTATAGCCCTGTAACTGATGTGCACTTTGTTCTTCTCTCCTGCAGACTCAGTTTGAGCTGGCCTTTGTTGTTCGCTACAAACCTGACGAGCAGCCCTCTTTAGTGCCCCACCATGATGCTTCCACCTTTACCATTAACATTGCTTTGAACAAAGTTGGGATAGACTATGAGGTAAGTGTGTGCCAGTGTGTCAAGAATGCAATACAGCTTCCAGGCGGCTGGAAACCCTTTTCTTATCCACATCTGGCTGCTTCACACTAAGGATACCAAGTAATAACTGTCTAGGGTAGAAAGATTTTTGAATGCATCAGAACACAGAAGACTCTCCAAGTACCTTCACAGATTTTCTGAAGGTTTCCAAGGAGGAGGCAGAGACTCTTTCC